CTCTGAATTACAGGTTAATGTCATCGATGGCCAGCTTTCTAAGTAATTAAAAGGACCTGTTTGTTTTGCAGCCTAAGGCCTAACCTTGGATATGTCTCCAATTCTAATCCCAAACTTACCTCAGAGAGCCCCTGCCTGATAAATGCTCCAGCAATCCAACTTAATTTAACAGATTTCTTTTGAATCTTTTATGTTCTTGCAGCCTTTGCACATCTACCAGCCCTGATGCAGCACTTGGCGGATAACTACAAACACTGGAAGACATTAGATGACCTAAAGTGCAAAAGTCTGAGGCTTCCGTCTGACAGCTAAAGCCAAACCAGTTGGGGACCTCTTGATCTACAAAGGGCACTGTGAATCACAGTAGTGTACAAGAGGCTTTCCTTTATAATTATAATGACAGGTGTAGGTTAAAGAGCAAATGTTTAATCTTTGACCTTGAATCATGCAAGCCCCCAAATTTCATTTTTAGAAAGTTATGTTCCATGAAAAAAATACATATTTTTTTGAATGATCACTTAGTGACAGATCAAATACTTGGCAAACTCCTTTGCTGTGCCATCATCCTGTGAAGCCTTGTCAAACTATGGAGCTGATTCACTGTAACTAGTAGGATACAAGAAACTGGCGCCTGTGAGCCCATCCCCTGGATGGTGACCAAATAGCTTAGCTAGTGTTCAGCTCATCTCTTACCATAAAAGTCATCAACACTGTTTAGCTTGACTATTTTCCTCAAGAAAAGGATTCCTAAGAAGCTTATCTGAACAGATCTATCTAAGAAAAAAGCTACATAAAATGAGCAGAACAGCTAGGACCAAATTGTTGATCGACTAGCTAGCTTCACAGCTTCTATGGCTAGGTGGATCTTCTAGGTTGAGGGTGTGACACCCAAGTTAGGATGCTGCCTTGGCCTGGCATGTGCCCCTCTAGACGAGGATGAGCAGTCTGTGTCACCCTCCTTCATGTGAAATTCATCTGAACAGAAAGGCATCTATGACTGGGGAGGAGTGGCATTGTACCTGGGGGGAATCCTGAGCTTCCCTTACTTACAGCTCACAGGGGCAGCCACACGGCACTACACTGAGTATTAATCTAAAAGCCATTAAATCTGAATGCCCTTGGACAAGCTTTTTTTAAAAAAAGAAAAATTTATAGACATTTGCTGTTAAAAATTTTTATTAAAACGATCTAAATTTTCTGGGTCTAAGCCCATGGCATTTGTTGTGCCGTGCACCACCTAGACATATATATCTGGGGAGGGGATGGGGAAGTTTCAAGGTTCAGATATTTTTAACTTATATATATTTGAGATCATGCCATTTGCTTAAATGATATAGAAAAGGGATTGCAAGATGTGTAAATATATCAGAAAATAGGTCTATGGAGAGGCAGTAAATACTATTTTAAGCTATTAACTGTATGCTAAAAGCTTCTAAAGCACAAGTGCATATTTTTATACAGCTCTTTTCACATAAAGTCAGACTGGAGATTTTCCTTTCTTTACCAGCCAACACTTCTCTATGTATACGAACATTAGAAACTCAACAAACAAAATATCTTCATTTTTTTCTTTCTCTGTACTCCATGCTGCATTTTAAGAGGTATAAACAGAGACTGAATTAATTGAATCACTAATTACTTTTGTTTCCAAATTAAAATTGGTATGCAGAACACTCAAAACTGGTACATGGGAAGAAAAAAAAATGACTTATCACTACATGATGTGCCAATGTTTTTTTCTATGTTTTGTACCAAAAATGGAAACATATATGACGATTCCATGTGATGAAATGTATCTAAATTATTTTTGTTAGATGATAAGAGAACTTGCTTGGTCAGGACAGCAGCCAGCTTTGTATTGTAATGCTGCATTATGTAAATGTGATGAAATGTTTTTGTGAAGTACTTGTAACTAAATTCCTACAGCCATTTTTCATCCCCAACAGCTGTTTTTATTTTACCTCTTTGGCCTAAATTTTTCATAATTTCAAATTTTGGGTTTAGTGTCCTTTATTTCATGAGTCACACACTTTGTTCTCAGAACACATTAAAATCAGGATGCCAGAATCCCATATTAAGGAGCTAAATAATTTGACTAGGCTTCAGAAGCTTGTCTGAGGCAAGGATGATCTTTTCCTGACTATCTTGCTGTCAGCTCCATTTGGTTAGTAACGTTTATCAGGTCCCTGACATCTTCTCTATGAAACATTACAGTTTACTCAGTGTTATGTCAAGTCAACTTCATATTCAAGCCTTAGTGTTGATGGTAAATGCTTTAAGACAGCCAGGTACTCAAGCTTCAGTGTGGCTCTGCTCTGTATCAGTATACTCTGCAGTGTAATTTTCTAAGTTGCTAGCTATGAGTATTTTCTTCCATAAGGTCAACTTACTAGAAATATAGTCCTGTAGGTAGTAGATATATCAGTTTCTGTATGCTAAAATAATGTAGAAATAATTGAGCAACTATTATAATTTCCTCTTATACTCAGTTGTTTACTAAAATATCATGTATTTTTAAATTAATTTTTAAGAAAAACTAATTAAAGTGACATTATTACTATTACTACTAGCAAGAAGAAGGAAAAGTTATCAGATATTGTTACTTAACCCAGAATGATTCCATAGCTTCACTGGCATTCTTTACTTCTAACTTAAGGTACTGAAATTTACTTGCTCTCAGAGTTCAGGACTAGTTAGCCTTCTGGGCAAAGAACAATCATAATCAGCACCTATTCCACTTGAGACAAACTGAAAGGATGATCCAACACTTTTAATTGTGTTATGTGAATACAGCCAGAGATTGAGGTAAAAGTATTTTTAAAAACAAATGGCAAAGGCTGGAATTGTGGCTCAGAGGTACAGTACTTGCCAAGGACATATGAGGCACTGAGTTCAATCCTCAGCACCACATAAAAATAAATAAATAAATAAAGTTATTTTTTTCATCTACAATTTAAAAAAATATTTTAAAAAATGACAAGGTATGATACATAGTGTTAGGTATTAAAAGCTAAGCTTGGGAAATAGAAAAAATGCAATTACATATTGACCTGAATTATCATTTTCTTCTAAACTGAAAGTTCAAAGTTTAGCAATTACATGTAATTACTGAGCAGCAGTTGAGTTTAAGTCCCCACCAGAATCATGTTGCAATCCTCTAGCTCTGACCTCAGAGCTCTCACGAAAAAAAGCCATCAAGTCCTCTGACTGAGCTGGAGGCTACCTTCTGAATACACAAGTTTCTCATGATGGAAAAGTAGTTAGCTGGACAATAACCACAGAAGGGATTCACTGTGGTACTGTTCGATCCTCAAGCTCATGTATGGTTTTCACCACTCCATTCGAACAGATCACTCTCACAAGATACTAACCCAGAATAGGTTAAGAAATGAAAGTTTAAAATCTCTGAATTCCTATGTCTTTTACAACTTCAGAAACATCTTTATTAATTCATGAGCCAATGTAGAATTTGCAAAGAATAAGTTAGTAAAGGGGGAAAAGTCTATATAGAGAAGAAAATTAAAAAGCTTTAAAGGAGTCCATAGAAACCTAGCCAAAGTGATCCCAATCTGATGCACTCAGACTAGACTGCACGTCCACCGAGCTTGGGGATGCTACCCGTGCCCCACCTTCAGGTGAAGCTCTTTGTGACTTTTCAAATATGCCTCGATAACAACACTTAGTTGGCTAAAAGGCAGTGTTAATTTTCACATAGAAGTAGCTTAAGTTTTAGTATAGTTTTCTCTATAGCTTTTTTTTTCTTATGAATTCAAATAGCAATAATGACTGTAAACACTAACTGGCTTTCCTCAAGTGGTAGTCATATAGTCATTATCTCACTCCCTCCTCCTCGATTACTGTGTTTAAAGTTGCTCAATGATGACATCAGGCACTACACAGCTAATCATCTTCAGGTCTTACCTCCTTAGCCCTAGGTGTCTTCATTTATGACATTATTCCATTAGTCTACCTAGATGACCTTAACTCTTCCAGTTTTTGTGGGTAGCTGGGAATATTAAGACCAGTAAAAACAAGGATTTATAAAGATTCCATTTAGGAAGTATGTCTGTGTATAAGGAGCAAATATGCAGAAGTGTCCTTTGAGAAGGATTAGCTTCTAAACATCAGTCACCTCGCCCTTTCTTTAATAGGATTCTTTAATCAGAAGATTAAGAATAATTTCATAATTAAGTCCACTGAATTTTTACTGTGGAGAATATTTTGGAGATTGAATTCAGGGGCATGCAACCACTGACCCACAGCCTCGAACCCTATTTTGTATTTTATTTAGAGACAGGGTCTCATGAGTTGCTTAGCACCTCACTTTTGCTGAGGCTGGCTTTGAACCCTTGATCCTCTTGCCTCAGCCTCCTGAGCCACAGGCATGCACCACCACCCAGCTGAGAATACTTTTTAACTTTTATTTTTCAGCACTAAAAGTGAGAGCATATTCTGTCACAAGGCTGGTGAGGTAAAGATGATCCAATCTCAACCCACACAGAAGGAGCATTTCATATTAACTCCGAGGTCGGTCAATCAGGCACTTGCAGCCACAGTCTTGATTCTAAAAACATTGTGCTGCTTTGCTGGTCTAGTGGTGTGACCCCTTGCCCGCAAGGAAGACACGACTCAGGTATCTTCTCTCAGCAGTTTATTCAGGCCTTTACTCAGACATGTCTTCAAGCATTCTCTCTCCGCTCGCGCCTCCCACACTTAATAAAGCACACCAAGCCCCAATGCAAAGCCGCCACGTGGACCTTTCTCATAGGGTGTTAAACAATGACGTGCCAACTCTCCCTATAAGGAGTTGTTTGTCTCAGACCACGGCGGAAACCGGCGCCATCGTGTAATGGCGGCCACGGTCCGCTGAAATGGCTCACCACAGTCTAGGACTCATCGTTTGAACACCTGAGGGGCAGCTGCTGTTCTAGTACTAATTTGGCCAATAATATTCAAGCCAACTCACACTGGGAAAGAAATATACCTTCATAAGACATCTATGGATTTTAGTATGTAAGAATTTTAGTTGCCACAACTAATTTATTAATGATTTAAACAAATCAATTGGTACTCCCCCCCAAAAAAATCACTGATAATTCTTAAAGGCCAGGGAAATCTGTAGAAAAAGGGCATATTTATCACAAGAATTCTCTTTGGGGAGACATGGGAACACCGGGGATTGGACTCAGGGGCACTCAACCATTAAGCCACAACACCTCAGCCCTATTTTGTATTTTACTTAGAGACAGGGTCTCACCAAGTTGCTTAGCTCCTCACCATTGCTGAGGCTGACTTTGAACTCATAATTCTCCAGCCTCAGCCTTTCAAAGTGCTGGGATTACAGGTATGTGTCACTGTACCTGGCTTATCACAAGAATTCTTAGTGAAATATACCATAAAGGAATCTCAAAATAAAACTACTACTTTACTCTTACCCCTATTCCCACCATTTCACAATGGTTCAAGTTAAGCACTCACCATCTGCACAAAGACCAATGGAGAACTTGTGGTATGTTCTTTAGTGGGTTTTCTAATACCTGAGAAGCAATTTTTTGCTGGGTTGTAAGTGTGTAAAAACTCAAACATATAGAATTTTATGGATCAAACAGGGAAAAAAATACAAATTTAAATAATCAATATATTAATGTTTTTCAGAGTATTAATCTATATTTGATGTTCAAGGTTCATGCATATGTATTCTCAGTTCCTTAGACTAAACAGCAAGGTATAAATCACCATTTTCCTCTAATTTCTGAAATAATTTTAAACTGCGCAATCCAGATTCTCGTTCTCCATTTTTCCACAAAATAATGAGATGATCAGCAGAGCAAGTAACAAGTCCATGATCTTCAAAGTACAGAAACATCTGTAAGGAAAATTGAAACCACTGATTATAGGAACTTATGAAGAGAAGAGGCTGATACAAGATTACAAAATATGCTTTCAGACTTCCTTGGATTTGAATGTAGAGCTCTTTGATTTTCACGAGAAGTTTCATTTTTAAGTAGTGGTAACAGTTATATACAAAAACAACCACTATCTAAAATGTTAAAAGTCAGAATGTTACTAATATTGCTCAACTACAAAATTATGAGTAACAGCTATTTTTTTAAACTAAGTGAATTCTCAAAGTATCTTCTAAATGTTATCATAATCTAATTCTTCAAGTATTGGTTTTAAGATTCTCTCAGGTACAGGTCCTGCCATGCCTGCTCTACTTAATCATTCTGTATGTACCAATGGCACTCATAAAGTCTTTGAATTCCAAATTTCCCAAGATAAACATTGACTTCAACTCTATGGAAGTAGATGCACTCAATCAATCCACAAGCATTTACTAAGTGTCTCTGGTGTGTTTATGGTCCTTGCCCTCAAGAAGATCATACTTCAGTTGGGAAAACGAAACCTTATCTGAAACAATTAGGGCATCAAGGAAAGACTCGGTAATTGGGTCCTAAATAATGCAGTACAGACTACAGCATGCCACAGAAACTCAAACAGAGGGAAGACCCAGATATGAAACTGCAGTCACAGAAAGCTTCAGGAGAAAACTCTGCAAGGAAAGGGAGGAGATGTGCCTAAGAAAGGAACAGGCTGGGGGCTAAGGACAGGACAGTGAAATGTGGATGAAAAGGCAGTATGAGCACCGGGGATGGAGGGGCATGTCAGAGAGGAGGTAAGTGAACCCACGGAAAGGACGAGGTCCTTGAAGGCAAGAGTGAAATACAGGAGAGGAGCAAACATGAAGGAACCAGAGAATGACAGTGTTCTCTGAAGTAACACACATTTCTGAAGACAGCAGGATGAGGCCACAGGTGAGTCACTGAAATATAGAAGTGAGGAGGGAAAATATCAGCACAAAATTCATTAAGAGTATGGAAAAGACAGAATTGAGTACATAGGTAGAAGGGCTGGGCCAGAAAGCAAGGATGAAAACATACAAGTGATGAGGAAATTCAGGAGACAACACCTAGGAGAGCATTGAATTTGGAGCACTAAATTTTTATCAATGAAGTCAGGACGCTTTTTAAAAATGCTGAAGTGTCAACACTTCAGGAAAATTCCTAAGAATCTGACTTATGACAAATATGCCACTTTCAAGGTCTCCCAACCACATAAAACCTTTTGACAGGTCCCTACTACTTAAAAAAAAAAAAAAGTCTAAACTATTCAGCCTTACATACAAGACATTTGTAATCTAACCCGAAAGTACCATCTCAGGCTTTCTCTCACACTAGTGTCTTATCATGGGAACCCAATGCCCCTGCACAGCCAATCTGTTCCTTGCCACCAAGTAAATGCTGTCTTTGCCCTTGTCTACCACATGCCACATTCACCAACTCCAAACTACAAATAGATGCCCAAGCAAAAATAAGGTAAAACAAATGAAAAACCCCAAAATACAAAAACACAAAAAACTGAGCTACCTGGTAAAGCAAAGCAAAGCAGAGTAAGACATAGTATCCAACATCAGAGAGCATACAGTGACAAGGCTATACACCTGCCTAACGTCCAAAGTTCAGCTCAAATCTGAAGTCCCATATCTTCCATCAATATTTACAGGACTCAGCAAGAAACATTCTAATTCCTGAGTATTCACTGTCTGCTACTCATCTGGGTTCATCATAAGCAGCCTAAATAAAGCTTATTAGCTTTGCCCCTTTCCTCTCTGCTAGAATATAAGATCCATGAGGGCAAGGATTTTACATTTCTTTGCAAACTCTAGGGTCTATGTAATTTAGTATTAATTCCTGATATATAGAAAATGCACAGTAGCCAGAGTGCTGCTGCTGCTACTCCTAAGTATGAATGTCTATTTGGATGAAAAGTAATTTGTTCCTCCCTAGCTATGAAAAAATTAAGAAATTCATTACTTAGAGCTCTGTTTACACAGTCATAGTTACCAGTTCCAACTACCTCTTTATCTTGACTGATCTTATTTCTCCATTACAGGCAATGATGCCTATAGTAAATAGTAATGTGTTTGGATTTCACTAAGTTAGAATTTTATTTCTTATAATTTTCATATATGCACAATGATTATCAAGGTTTAAGGTTTAATAAAGTTAACAAATTATCATCCATCAAAGACAGGTCAAAACAGTGCTTTGGTCGTGAATTTGATAGGTCCCTGGAAATCAGATTCTACTAAGGCTTTAACTTCACATGTTTAATTGTAAACAGTCCACCCCCTGTGGACTACTAGTAGACATATACAGTTAACATTATTCACATTGCCTTTATTAATTAACTATCTGTATCTCACAAATGGTGAGTAAGTTCATGCTTAAAAGCAATACTTTCCTTGTTTGTTCAAGTCCTCTCTCTGTAAAGGAAGACCTTAACTACCCACACTTATCCTATTCTGTGTTCAGATATAACAGAGACCTACAGATGAGAGAGTTTAGGTCTTTCTGAGACAAAGAGCAGTACAAGGCAGGGAACCACATGGCCAGTGCTGTCCACTAAAAGCAGTACCTCCACAGAGGATGAGTGTCCAATCAAATCACCAATGAGCTCCAGTGAACACAAAGTGGCATTTTCTTGCTGCTTTTTAATAGGTTGGCTGGCTTGTTTGTTCACTCTTCCAAATCCCCACATGTTAAAAAAACCTAAAAAAATGCAATCAGTTCTGTCATTTCCAAACTACTGAGCTTGACTTACAATAATTAATATGAGACCAGAAAAACAGACAATATTTAAATGCAAAGATGTTCCACACTTATATTACCAAGCAGATGGTACCAAGTACTACACTGGGGTCTTTAAAATACATTATTTTGTTTCATTTTTTTTAACCGGCAAGGTTTGTTCCTAATTTCTTTTTATTGTCCCCACTTACCCATTAGTAAAGGTATATTAATATACATACACAAACACAGGGAATGAAAGAGAAGTAAAAGATCTGAATGACAAAGTCTAAAACAGGAAATAATTAAGATCAATCAACAAAATCAAGGAAAAGCAGCATGTGTGTGTTAAACACAATACCCTAGGGCCTCAGGTAAGTAAAAGAACCAGAGGAAACTAGAGGCACCAGCCTCTGATTTCATATTGGGTACTGGTAACTAATTCATTCAAACATCTAGAATTTTATTTTTCAAATGGAGCACCAAAAAGTCAAGAGCTCATGAGGTGATAACAAAGAAAAGTGTTCTTTTCCCATAAGTTATGTTTGATGTTAATGATAAAGAACACTTTAGTTTGACAACCGATGGTAAAAATTTTGTTTGTGTACCAATCAGAATTATAGACAATATAATTGAATAACTACTAGAAAATAACTGTTTGCCCTCAAAACAATAAAATCCCAGTTGAACTAAAATAAAGAGGCAGTTCTACTTTAGGACAATATTAAGAAGTGGATCCTAGATCCCAATTACCCTATACTTACGGTAAACATCTAATGCCTGTTTAGAGTACATTCTATTATTTCTGTGGCTTCACACAATCACCTTTCTTCTGCCTGACATATGAGGAAGGAGAGACAGAGAAAGGCTCCCTTTTGGGGAAAAGACACACACCTGTTGGTACAGGTTCAGCTGTGAGCTGCTGTTTTTCTCGTAACTCCCAAATGCGTACACTGCCATCTTCTGAGCATGAGATTAACTGCCTGTCAGAATAGAAAATCAGTAATATGGAGAGAGCATCATGGAAGACCAAATGCTGAATCTGCAATCAAAGAAATCATTGGAGCCCTTGACTGTTGTTGTTTTGTTTTTTTTTCCAGCTCTTGGCACAAGTTCATAAAAATCACAATTGAGGGGCTGGGGTTGTGGCTCAGCAATAGAGCACACACCTAGCATATGAAAGGTCCTGGGTTTGATCCTCAGCACCACATAAAATAAATAAAATAAAGGTATTGTGTCCAACTACAACTAAAAAATACATATGAAAAAAATCACAATTGAATGTGGCTTTACAATGCAAACTAAACACACTCTTCAGTAAAGGCATACATGACACTATGTGCATTGGCTCAAATGCTTTAAATTTAAAAAATTTCTCCATTTAAAAAATTGCATTTAGGAGGGCTGGGGATATAGTTCAGTGATGGAGCACTTGTTTAGCATATGCAAGGCTCTGGTTGTGATCCCCAGAATGGGTGAAAAAGACATTCAGGCAAACTGCATGCATTATATTTTTACAATATTCTGAGCATTTGTATTCAGGGTGCCTCTTACTCTAAATATATCCTGCATAGAAAATAATGCTATTGTCTTCCCATAATTTCATCAGTAGAAACTCTGCAGCTACAGCTACTCTGAGAGGAAAACCCTCACTTCGAAGCCTTAGACAATGAGAAGCCTACCATTTAATTCTTTTTTAAAATATTTTTTTAGTTGTAGATGAACAGAATACCTTTATTTTATTCATTTTCTAAAAACTATTTTGTTTAGTTGTAAATGGACGAAATACCTTTACTTTGTTTATTTATTTTTATGTGGTGCTGAGGATCAAACCCAGTGCCTCATATGTGCTAGGCGAGCACTCTACCCCCCAGCCACAACCCCAGCCCCTACCATTTAATTCTGATTATAAACAAACAACAACAAGGTGGGTTTATATAAAATATAAATAGGAAAATCAGTACGTTGTTAAATGCCACAGTCTTTAAACTTGTTTTTTTAAAAAAGCACCAAATTTAAATGATCTTTTCTTAGAATGATATTCAATATAATTCCTTTGAACCTTGGTTCCTGTAATCAACTCCTCTTCAGAGTCAGCCATAGGGCATTCTCCATTACCAAAAGAACACAGCAGGTCAAGCCACAGAGCCAGGTAACTTGGTCACTTGAGAAATTACACTGGCAGCCCTGGGAACCGTGACTTACTTTCATCTACTGCAGAACAGATGGAACTTGTACCTGTTTGGAAGTTTGGCAATATGCAAGACATTGGAGTCATGTGCAGTTTTCTGGCAGGCAATCACACGCTTCATTTGAAGGTTATACACATATAAACCCCTTCCAACTGCAGCAAATACATTCTGGGGGGAAAAAGTTATTAAAAAAGGGCATAAAACTAATGCCTACTACACCTGGTATAATAGATTCCCAGCCCTTGTGTGACATCAGAAAATCATGGTTATCTCCCCTGTTCCCAGCCTTCAGCCCAAATTACTGTACTGCCCTCTGAAGTCCAAAAATGTCAGAGCACAAAGCTTTCCTTGGTGCTTGGTACTTTGATACAACTACTTATACAGAAAAGGCTCTGCATAACATTACTGTCTTCCTCAATGAGTTGTGACAGCTCAAGGAAGGAACTGTGGCTGGCAGCTTGGTCCTGCAGCAGCCTGGATTTTCATCTACGAAACACTATCCTTGAGAAAATTACTTAGCTTCTTTTGCCTGGAAAATGTGAGTAAAATTACTCGTACCCCGCATCTTAAGCAATCAAGAGACCTATAAATATGATTGAAAAAACATATGCTATAGTTGTACTATCATCATAAGATCCTCTGAAGGCTTCACAAAAAACGTTGTTTCTATGTAATGTTAGAAATACCTTTTTACTAAAACAACTTTAATTTTTTGAAAACATTTTTGCCAATTTCATCTTATATCAGCTTCAAAACATCTTGTTAAGGTAGGAAAAACATGCATCATTGCCATTTTCCAGATGAGCAAGTTAAATTTTTAAAAAGTTTAAAATTACAAAAGAAATCAGGCACAGACTCAATATCAAAATCAGTCATGCTATTCCAGTTTCTTGCTCTTTCCTTATACCATACCACCTTGCTTCTGAAATTATTTTTAAGTTACTAGACATCAGGTAGCACTTGTCTTGGAATCATTCATTTTTATTCATTAGGTACCCTAAGAGGCAGACCTATCAAAAATTCCTACAGATTTCCCCCTGCTTTCAACCAGAGATGTTGAGCCCCTAATCCTTCTTGTTGGCTACAAACCCAACTCAGACTTACTAACTGGGTTAGCTGTACCAAAGCATGCCCCTGAGCTTCCCAGAGTAAAAGTCGAATGATGCAAGCTGAGACCAGTTGCCATGCACAATTAAAGGAAATGGCTAGCAAAAGTACTAAAATCTGGAGTCCTAAGGATTATATTCAATGCAGAACCCCCAAAACTCATTCTACAGAGCAGGAAGTCCATGGAGTTCAAGTAATTAATCAAAGGCCATGTAGAAAATTATAAACATAATTAGAGAACTCATGAGCTTTGGGGCAGAGACATTCAACAGAGATACTCTATCAGTCATCCACCATCAACAATTAATGGAGGATAAAAAGAACCTAGAGATGGAAAGAATCCCCAACAAAAGAAAGAAAATTGGGGGAAACTGATTAATACTTACTCAAGCATTTATAGCGCTAATAAAGATTAGTCAAAAAATCTTGAATACAAAATTTAAAAAATTTTAAGTATTAAATTTTACAAAAGTGAGAAAAAATACAAAATTTAAATACACACACACTTATATATAATTTTAGGGCTATAATAAGAACACTTTTCTGAGTGTTCTCATATATTATATATAAGTGTGACCTATTGTTCTATCACATATATATTTTTTTTTTTCAAAATAAAATTGGGATACATAGAAACTTGATATATAGGTGTACATGTATTTTAAAAAAATTTTTTTTCAAACCCAGTGTTTCACACATGTAGGCAAGTACTCTGCCACTGGGCTACAAGCCCCAGCCCTGTGTACATGTATTTTTTTTTAATCCACTTTTATCCTATTCTTATGTTTTTGTTTTTAAAGAGAGATGCAAAGAAATTAAAAGCCTTTCCCTTTCAGTACACAACTTCTGAACTTTTTAAATAATAATAATAACATGTATGCCTTTAGAAAACCAGGATATAAAGGGACAAAATAAAGTGAAAGAAAAGCTTCCTCTAGTCCCCCTCCTCAATGTTTACATTTTTTTGTGTGTGTGATCATGTTTAGAAAACTAACTCCCCCTTTCTGAGAGTTTCTCAGGCTAAAAGAAGAGATCCCCCCAAACCCCATTCCCAGTACTAGAGATTGAACCCAGTGATGCTCTATCACTGAACTATATATCCCCAGCCCTTTTTATTTTGAGACAGAGACTTGATAAATTGCCTAGGCTGGACCTGAACTTTTGATCTTTCTAAGTGGCTGGGATTATAGCATAGGTCACCACAGAAGACTGTTTGTTTGCTTGTTTTTGTCAGGTCAGAGCCAAGATTCAGAAGTCCATTGGTACTGATCTTTATAGCACACGTGCTTCAAGAACATCACTGTCAAGGCCTAATATATGGATAGCAGCAATTAATCAATTATCTTCCCCAGATGTCAGCACACTAAACATTCCTAGAATTTTTTGTTTTTATTTTTTTATCCCTCTCGGAAATGTACTAGAATCTTCAAAATAATTTTTACAGTGTACTGAAAACAATTTGAAGCATTAACTTCAAATTCTGTGGGATTATTTAATCCAACCCAAAATTGTAATAGGGTTTCTAAATCTGCAGTCATCTAATCACTTCTTTGCCTGAAGATTAGGAGCAAAGATTTAAAAATCCTTTTTTAATGTAAGTGGTACAGTCTATGTAAAATATTAGACCATTTGAAGACACAACTTGAAACGATAGGGAATGATATTTTTATCATTATGAGATTAAGTTTTAAAAATCAGAAATTTGGCTTATTAAAAAAGTTTATAGATAAAGTATAAACTTTATAGATAATGTATAGAATTTTTTTTTTTACCTCTTCATCACATGTGAAATGATGAATGGAAATGTCATTTGGTTTTTGACAGAGTTTTATTTCTTGCTGGGTGTCCAGCTGTGGAGATGGGTCCCAGAAGTTGCGTTCATAAGCCTGAATGGTCCAGTCCAGGACATCCCAGATGATCAGCTCTCCAACATGGGAGCCCGTAACAAAACTCTGATCTAGGCAAAGTTCACAAATGTCTAATTATTGATCATTTTCTCTAGGCTAAAGGAAAAAATGAATGGAATGCCTAGCAGTAATATTCTATAAAACCACAATAATAAGAACAATGAGACACCTAAATAAGCCAAACAGAAAGGTTAATAAAATAGAATTAAAAGACTAGAAATAGGCTTTAAGTTTAGTTTCTTAGTGTTTGATAATTATTACATTTTACTCTTGTAATAAAATATCTCATACTGGAATGTTTAGTCAAGTTTGGGAATAAAAAATAAAAGAACCTTACCTTGGAATGTATACCAAAATAAGTTTAGAATAGTTTAACAAGTTCAAAAGTGTACATAATATAAATTAAAATATTACAGGAACTTAAAGGATTAAAGAAAATAAAGCTGAATAGTTTTAAGAATATGGAGTGGTA